AAGCTACCCAGGTCATTCTTTAGGTTGTTATTTGTATATCCTTTTTAATTACTGTATTCATTAGAGAGCCAGCCTGATGTAATGGTTAAATTGCTGCCCTGGAAGTCTCAAGAGAAGATTGTCACTTTCAGTCCTGCCTTAGATATGCAAGCCAGCTGGGTGACTCTTTGTGTGTGTGTGTGTGTGTGTGTGTGTGTGTGTGTGAGAGAGAGAGAGAGAGAGAGAGAGAGAGAGAGATGACAGAATCTCCATAGACATCAAAAGGCAAATGAAATGTTCCAGAATCTTTTGGGATACAGAGAAGATCTCAAAAAGAGACTGGACTGCCACTTGTCACAAATGCTGTAGAGACTCCTGCTTGGGCAGGGGTTGGACTAGATGACCTACAAGGTCCCTTCCAACTCTTCTGTTCTTTTCTGTTCTGTTCTACTTTTTCTCCATTTGGCTTTGAGCAGCAAAACCCTGTAGACTTCATTTCTGGGCAAGCTCCCGGGTTAGCGTGGGTGAAAATATGCACATTGTATTTCGCAGGAGAGTGAATTAGTGCATAGGTCAGATAAGCCAAGGAATCTGCTCTATCTAATCATATCTCATAGTAAGTCATTCTCAGAATCCAATTACTGATAAAAGCAGTAGATATGTTTCCATTATGTATAGCAGAAAACTGCCCAACTCTTATGTAAGGATGTCTGTGTCATCCACGTGAAGCATATTGCTCTTAATATGCTTCTTGTTACACGAGACACACAATGCTTAGCCATGACGTTCCTTGTTTTTGGCTTGGTGGGATGACAAACTGGGATATTGTGGATTTATTGAAGAAATCGCAGCCAACACCCTAGCTTGCCAATTGCTGTCAGGATTTTTTTTTGTTTTTTTGTAAAAAAATGTTTTATATAAAGTATAAAAAATACTTCAGATAAAGAGTAAAATAAATTTATACACACAACTTTCGGTATTGCTCACCCATTTCCCCCCAAACCGCACCCACCCTCTAACCTCTTCTCTCACTTCCCTCTTTCCCTCTTCTTCCTCACTCTCTCCCTCTCCTCCTTTTCCTCAACCTTCCTACTTACTTCTCCCCTTCCTCCTATCTTTTCAGTCCGGATGCAGTCCAGGGGAAATGCCTGAGCAATTCCTCTCTCCAAATTTAAACATCAATATTATATACAATAAAACTATTTCTACTTATCTGAGCTATTTAACCTCCAACCCACCCTCCCCCCACCCCCCTCCCTCCCACTTCCCAGAGCCAAGTACAGGGTTATACAAACATATTAAACATAATCTATTTAAGTTTACTAATTTATACAATAACCAAAATCATACTAACTCTTAACTCTCTTCAAACTTTAACATCATAATTTTATAAACAAATCCATTACTCATAAAATAAATGAAACTTTGTAGTTCCATATTTCTTCTGAACATATTCTATCCATCTTCTCCATACAATAACATACCTCTCTTGTGAATGGTCCTTTAAATATGCAGAAATTTTAGCCATTTCTGCTAAATTAGAAACCTTAAATACCCATTCTTCTAAAGAAGGCAGAGAATCTTTCTTCCAATATTGACCCACCAGTAATCTTGCTGCTGTTATTAAATTCAACATTAAAAATTGCTGTCAGGATTTAACAACCATTGCTCAGGCCTAGTTTTCTCCCCAGTGATATGCTACAGACCTCAAGTGTCTAGATCAGTGATGGCGAACCTTTTAGAGACCGAGTGCCCAAACTGCAACCCAAAACCACTTATTTATCACTGGGTCCCAGGTGGGCGTGGCCTACTGGGTGGACGTGGCTGTGGTGTTCATGGCAGACTGGGTGGGTATGGCCATGGTGGGTGTGGTCACCTTGATGTTGCTCGTGGGCAGGGCTGGGAGAGATCCAGGGGATTTCTGGCAGGTGGGGCGGTGGGCAGGAGGCTTGTGCTGCGGGGTGAGGCAAGGCGAGGCAAGGCGGGGGTGCCATTGTCACAGGGCAAGGCGAGGCAGGGGCCGGGGCGACTGCTGCCTGACACCATCGGCCCCCGTACACAGAGGCCAGTGTGCTGGGATGCAGCTGGCCACATGGGACCTGGTGAGTTAGCGGGCGGCTGGTTGAAGAGGGACAGTTGCCATCTCCAGGGCATGGCGCATGTGCCCACAGAGAGGGCTCTGAGTGCCGCCTCTGGCACGTGTGCCATAGGTTCGCCATCACTGGTCTAGATTCACACATCAGAATTAGCCCAAACCTCAATCCACTGAGGTTAGCGCTGTTTCCTGAGATCTTTTCAACTCACAAGATTGAGGAACTAAACACCTTTTGTCTCTTATCTTTAGAAAGAAAAAAAAAAGATGTTCCTTCATAATGTTTTGCAGTTTAGGGTTTGTCATCTTGGGCTCTTGCCATCCTGGAGTTGACGGGAGTTATAGCATTTTGGGAGCTGTAGTATTTGGGGTGTTATGATATCTTGACAGCTGGGGGCTCCACCTGGGAAAAACTACACGAAAGGTTTGTGGCTGAAGGTTTTTACAGCAAAACAAATAAATAAATGTGGGTTTTGATTACAGAGAAGGGAAGGTAACTCTCTGATGCAGGAACCAGCAGACAAACCACAGTGAACAAAACTCCACTTCTTGTTCCCAAGCTGTGAGAAATAAAAGGGGTAATTAAGCTGTCACAGCCACCAGTCATGATGACAGCATAGTACAGTACTGTTTAAACTCTTGGAGATAATCTGCTTTCTGTTCTCCGTTGCTGGGGTTTCTTTCCGTGCCCCAGTTCTCCTCCTCATCTGGGGGACATTGACAGTCACTGTGCAAGCAAGCCTGCCCTAGCCACTGTCTCGCCACTCTTCCTCTTCCCTCTTCCCTGACTCTTTTCCTTCTCTAATTTTGCTTCCCTCCCTCCATCCCCATCATTTGCCCCCCCCCTCTTCTGGCAGCAGGTGCTACGTTTCCCAGCCTTCAACCGCTTTGAAGGTGCCTTTCTGCAGATTTAACGCCAAGGTGCAGGGGGGGGGGGATAAATCAATACCCTCTCCGCTCTGCAGCTTTGATGGTTTAGCCCAGTGTTTCTCAACTGCTTTAAGATAAGTGGACTCCAAACTTCAGAATTCCCCAGAGAAACTCTGATTTAGCTTGCAAAAAGGGTTGACTTATTCTGTTTCCCATCTTTCCACTGCCTGCCAAGCCGTTGAGCGTCTTCTGTAGAGCAAATGCTCCTTTTCTTTTCCTTTCCTTTCCTTTCCTTTCCTTCCCTTTCCTTCCCTTCCTCCTCTCCTCTCCTTTCCACTTTCCTTTCCTTCCCTTCCTTCTCTCTTCTCTCCTCCTCTCCTTTCCACTTCCCTTCCTCCTCTCCTCTCCTTTCCACTTTCCTTTCCTTCCTCCTTTCCTCTCCTCTCCTTTCCACTTTCCTTTCCTTTCCTTCCTCCTCTCCTCTCCACTTTCCTCTCCTTTCCTTCCTCCTCTCCTCTCCACTTTCCTCTCCTTTCCTTTCCTTCCCTTCCTCCTCTCCTCTCCACTTTCCTCTCCTTTCTTTCCTCCTCTCCTCTCCATTTTCCTCTCCTTTCCTTTCCTTCCTCCTCTCTCCTCTCCTCCTCTCCTCTCCTTTCCCCTTCCCTTCCCTTCCTCCTCTCTCCTCCTCTCCTCTCTTCCACTTTCCTTTCTTTTCCTTCTCCTCTCCTCTCCTTTCCACTTTCCTTTCTTTTCCTTCCTCCTCTCCTCTCCTCTCCACTTTCCACTCCTTTCCTTTCCTTTCCTTCCTCCTCTCTCCTCTCCTCCTCTCCTCTCTTCTCCTCTCCTTTCCCCTTCCCTTCCTTTCCTCCTCTCCTCCTCTCCTCTCCTCTCTTCCACTTTCCTTTCCTTTCTTTTCCTTCTCCTCTCCTCTTCTTTCCACTTTCCTCTCGTCTCCTTTCCTTCCCTTCCTCCTCTCCTTTTCACTTTCCTTTCCTTCCTCCTCTCCTCTCCTTTCCTTTCCTTTCCTTCCTCCTCTCCTCTCCCCCTTCCTCCTCCCCCTCACTCTTTCCCTTTCTCTTCCTCGCTTCCTCCCCCTTCCTCTCCTTCCCCTCCCCTTTCCCCTCTCCCTTTCGGTCTCCTTTGCCTCTCCCTCCCTTTCCCATCCTGCTCTCCTTTGCCTCTCTTTCCCTTTCCCATCCCCCTCTCCCTTCTTCTTTCCCTTTCCTTCCTTTCAACAGTACTCCAAAGCCTAGAAGACTTTCTGCTTTGAGGCTGGGGGATGTTTTCAGGACTCAGCCAGATCCTTCTTGCCTTGATCCCCCCCTGCCTCCAATTTTTCCAACTAACATCTTGGCTTCTTTCTAAATCTCTCTCTTCTACCACGACCCCATCTGAAGAGACCATTTGCCTTTTCTCAGGAAGTTGATGTCTGGGTAATAATAATAGTAATAGCAATAATAATAATAATAATGTTGGAACAACCTTTATTTCAGACAAATGGCTGTCCAATCTTTTCTTAAAAATGTCCAGTGTTAAAGCATTCACTCTTCTGGTGGCAGGTTGTTCCACTGGTTAATTGTTCTAGCTGTCAGGAAGTTTCTCCTTAGTTCTAGGTTGCTTCTCTCCTTGATTAGTTTCCATCTGTTGCTTCTTGTCCTGCCTTCAGCGCTTTGGAGAATAGCTTGACTCCCTCTTTTTTGGGGCAGCTCCTGAGATATTGGAAAACTGCTATTATGTCCCCCCTCTTCATTATATTAAACATACCCAATTTCAGCAACCGTTCCTTATATGTTTTATATCTGTAGAGAAACCAACATCAGTAAACCTGGCCAGCTAGCTGCTAATCTTGCCTACGTTCAGCTCTCTATAATTACTGTGGATGTCAAATAATAACTGGCAGGTGGTGTCACCTAACTTGAGTTGCTGGTGTGTTGTTTGTGAGCCTCTATATATTTATCTTCCAAGCCACACACATGTAATTAAAATAATCTGAATCATAGGGTGATTTAAAAAGGAAAGGCTGGAGATATTCTTCATCTTACTTGTTTTCTTTTTCCAGCATTTGAAGTCTTGGACTTCTCTTCCTTGATACCAGAACTGGAAGTTATTCTGGCAGTAACTCAAGAATGCAGATACCTGGTAAGTGTCTCATGAGAACTGAGAATGCCGGTAAGAAAGAAAACAGTAACTGCAATTATAAAATGCCTTACAGAGAACATCTTATCTTTCATTTCTTTCTTTCTCTCCCTTTATACTAGTGAACTTTATAGATCCGTTTCTCCATCCATCGTTTATATAATTAAATAGTGCAGAAAAAAAAGACAAAAACAAAGCAACAGAAAGAAAGTAACACAACAGTAAGAACCACCATTATATGTATCTCCGAACCCTTTTCAACTACATAGCTATTATGTGGAAATTGATGGTTGGATAGTGGAACTGGAATTTCTGCATTGTTACTTCTAGAAACCTAGTCCTCCAATGCTGGATAAATAAATTTATTGACCAGATTTCTTGTTGGATTGACATCTTGATGTTCCCTGTGAGTCACTTACAAACGTAGATTAAGTACTATGTGGACAATTACGATGCAGCATGCTCAGCCTTCATGAACATTGTTGTGGGAATTTTATATACATATCTATTTGTAATATAAATAAGTAGGGGAAGGGGCTCAGGAACAACATCAGAACTCTCTATCCAGAAAAATGCAGGGCTAGGAAGGGTTAGGATCCTTTCCCAGACTCTGGTAGAAGGCCTAAAATTGAGGAAGACACAGATCATCTACAAGGGTGAGAAAGGAATTTTTATAATATGCTCCTGTTTTTCCCCCTCTTGTCTGAATATTGATAGGACCTCTAGGTCTCCTGCTTTGGGTCTGGAATAAGGGGCAGGGGGATAACAGAATAACACAGTTGGAAGGGACTTTGGAGGTCTTCTAGTCCATCCGCCGCCTCATGCAGGAAACTATACCATTTCAAACAAATGGTTGTCCAGTCTCTTCTTAAAAACATCCAGTCTTGGGGCACCCATAACTTCTGGAGGCAAGTCGTTACACTGATTAATTGTTCTAAAAGATGGGTCCCTTGTTGTTTGCTTCCCTTTTGATTTTGCCCAACTAAATTCTCAAACCATTTCATCCTTCCAGTCCTCTTTTTCCAACTTCTCTGGAGCCTTTTACTTCCCTGTCTCTTAGATGGTGGCCTCCAAAGGCCCAGTCTCTCTCTTCTGCTGCTTCTGTTATTATTATTATTATTATTGTGGTTGATTGTATCATAATTTCAGCCAGATGTTCAGACTGAATTTGGGAAGGAGTCCACCTATCGAGTCCTTTCCAAGAACCTGGGATAGGTAGATGTTGATGTTCGATGGTGTTAGAGCAGTGTTTCCCAAACTTGACAATTTTAAGGCATGTGGACTTCAACTCCCAGAATTCCACAGCCAGCGTTGCTGGCTGTGGAATTCTGGGAGTTGAAGTCCTCATGCCTTAAAATTGTCAAGTTTGGGAAACACTGTGTTAGAGGTACCGTCACAGGATCTAAGCTGTTCTGAGTAAAGCTGCCTTTTGCAATTGACCGGTGGGGATTTTGTCAGTGCCGATGGTGTTCAAGTGATGCTCCGGATGTTTTGGAATTGCAGCCAAGGTGCCTATTAACTATTGGTACTGCCTTTGCTTTCTTTTGCCACGGACATTCTACTTCTACTTGCAGATCTTTGTATTTTGTTATCTTCTCCAGTTTCTTGTTTGCTACCCGTCTTGCAGTTTGAAGTGATCCTGAGCGGCTCCTCCTGCAAGATGCTCCTAAGGCAGGCCAAGACTTTTGATCCTACAGTTGACTTTTTTGCACTCTCTTGCAGAACCTCTTTCTCTATCTGTGCTTCTGTAATGGGCTGTGTGAATGACCTTGGGGAGATGAGGAAAAGAGGTGCTGCCAAGGAAATGGTCAGAGAAGAGAGAGAGAGAGAGGAGCCCTCAAGTCATTAAACAGTCAGAAACCTAGGAAGGACCTACCCTAACTGATCAAGCAGTTAAAAGTGACGGTGGGAAGTTTGTACCTTCAGACTTGCAAGATTCTATCAATGTAGCCTTACTATAAAGTCTAATCAGTTCTAGTTGCGTTTCCTGTCTGGCTTACCTAGACTCACTGATAGTTTCTGCTAATGCTGAAATAATAATAATAATAATAATAATAATAATAATAATAATAGTAATGAAGTTGGAAGGGACCTTGGAGGTCATCTAGTCCAATCCCCTGCTCAGGCAGGAAACCCTATATCACAGGTCGGCAACCTGCGTCTCCGGAGCCGCATTCAGCTCTTTGAGCCTTCCCCTGTGGCTCCCAGCCTCCTCTGCCATTTGCAGAGAGAGACAGAGACAGAGAGAGGCACTTGCACTTCCCTTGCACTTCCCTTCTCTCTCTCTCTCTCTCTCTCTCTCTCTCTCTCTCTCTCTGTGTGTGTGTGTGTGTAAAAAGAGTGGACTCACAGTGTTCTCCGATGAGCTGAAAAGCTTATTTGGGCAGGGCTTCTCCCTTTGCTGCGTCTCTGCAGGAAGCAGGGAGGGCAGCAGAGAGTTAGACTCGGGAATTCTGGGAATTGAAGTCCATGAGTCATAAAAGAGCCGAGGTTGCCTACCCCTGAGCTCGTTGGAGAACAGCTTGAAGCCAGCTTGCCAGGTGAGCAGAAGATTGGAGAGAGGGAGAGAGGGGGGGAGGGGGGGAGAGAAAGAGAGAGAGAGAGGGAGGGGAAAGAGAGAGGGAGAGGAAAGAGAAAGGGAAAGGAAAGAGAAAGAAAGAAAGAGAGGGGGGGGAAAGAGAGACAGAGAGAGACCCTTTTGACATCTCAAATAAAGATAACACTGCATATATCCTTTTTTACCTTTATTATAGGTATATGTGTATATATATATATATATAGGTCTTTGGTTGTTCGGGTTTTCTCCCGCGTAAAATTGGAAGTGTCTTGGCGACGTTTCGACGAAGTCCCATTCGTCATCTTCAGGCTGGTGTTTTCAGCTTCGTGCTTCAAGCAGCAATGTGTGGTCTTAGCTGTTTCTTCCTTTTAACTGCCAGTGGGGGTATGAACTGATTGGGTGGGAGCTTGGCTGTGTTCTGATTGGGTGGAGGTGTGTTCTGATTGGTTAGGGGCTTGGCTGTGCTCTGATTGGCTGGGGACCCCTCTGCAACTCAGACTAACCTGAGCACAACCAAACAGAACACTCCCCCAGCCAATCAGAACACAGCCAAGCTCCCACCCAATCAGTTCATACCCCCACTGGCAGTTAAAAGGAAGAAACAGCTAAGACCACACATTGCTGCTCGAAGCACGAAGCTGAAAACACCAGCCTGAAGATGACGAATGGGACTTCGTCGAAACGTCGCCAAGACACTTCCAATTTTACGCGGGAGAAAACCCGAACAACCAAAGACATATATATATATATATATATATATATATATATATACACACACACATACATACACACACACACACACACACAATAAAGGTAAAAAAGGATATATGCAGTGTTATCTTCATTTTAAATATCAAAAGAGTTTTGCAGCTCCCAGTGTTTTGTTTTCGGTAGGAAACGGGTCCAAGTGGCTCTTTGAGTCTTTTGGGTTGTGTACCCCTGCCCTATACCATTTCAGACAAATGGCTGTCCAGTCTCTTCTTAAAAACTTCCAGTGTTGGAGCAGTCACCGCTTCTGGAGGCAGTTTGTTCCACTGGTTAATTGTTCTAACTGTCAGGAAGTTTCTCCTTAGTTCTAGGTTGAATAGTTTCCATCCATTGCTTCTTGTCCTGCCTTCCGGCGCTTTGGAGAATAGCTTGACACCCTCTTCTTTGGGGCAGCCCCTGAAATATTGGAACATTGCTATCATGTCCCCCCTTGTCCTTCTCTTCATTAGAGTACATACCCAATTCCAGCAACCGTTCCTCATATGTTTTAGCCTCCAGACCTCTAATCATCTTTGTTGCTCTTCTCTGTGCTCTTTCTAGAGTCTCAACATTTTTTTTACATCGTGGCGACCAAAACTGGATGCAGTATTCCAAGTGTGGCCTTACCAAGGCATTGTAGAGAGGTATTAACACTTCACGTGATCTTGATTCTATCCCTCTGTTAATACAGCCTAATACTGTGTTGGCTTTTTTGGCAGCTGCAGCACACTGATGGTTCATATTTAGGTGATTGTCCACTAGGACTCCGAGGTCCCTCTCACAGTTACTACTATTGAGCAAGGTATCCCCTTGCTCTGCTAATGTCCTTCCTTCCACTATCTCCTCTGGGACATCAGAAAAGGAGGAATAAAATTTATTTTTATTTATTTATTAGTATCCTGTCTTACTTGTTTTACAAGTAACTCCAGTGGCGAACATATCCAACACACCTTTCTCTTCTTATTTTTCTCACAACAACTGGATTCAGCCTTCCAGGCTGGGAAGGTGGGGAGATCAAACACAAAATAATTTGGCGTCTCTGTTGAGTCCTCAGCTTAATGACAATAAATCACAGAGCATCTCGTAGTGTTAAGAAGCCTTTATTGTTGTTTCTTCAGCTCCGTTTCAGCTCTGAGGCACGCAGGCCTCTCTGCCTCTCTTAAGAACTCTTCCCAGGACCAAATGGCAACATTTGGCGTGCGCGCGAAGCCGGCACCAGCCAGTCTGGTCCCGGGCAGCTTGCAACTGCCCGGGACCGTTGCAATGTCCCGAGCCTGCCTTTGCAGGCTCAGGACACAACAGTCTCCTCTTCTGTTGATTTAGAAAGTGCAGTTCAGACAGTGCAAACTAAAACTGATGGTATTTGCCTTTTTTCGGGCAGCCACCTCACTTGGCAGTCAAAGGGCCTTACCTGTAGAAACAGAATAATTTAACATCTCCTATACAAATATGCAATCGACTTACGATTGCAACCAAGCCCAACATTTTCACTGCTGAAGTTACTAAGTTGGTAACATGTTTGTTGAGTGAATCTGGCTTCGCCACTGATTTTGCTTGTCAGAAGGTTTACATTCAAATTGCCTAGCACAGGGGTCTTCAAACTTGGCCCTTTTGTGACTTGTGGACTTCAACTCTCAGAATTCCTCAGCCAGGCATGCCTGGCTGAGGAATTCTGGGAGTTGAAGTCCACAAATCATAA